ATAAGGGGCTGCAGGGCCGTGTGCAGACGGCTGAGGAAACAGCAACAGGCCTAAAGCAAGGAGCAAAAGAGTCTCCCTTTTTTCTTCTTTTACCAGACTGAGAATAAAGTTATAAAATGTTGACTTAAAAGTCGAAATATTATGATAATAAAGTCGAACTAGCAAAATTATGAGATTAATCTAAGAATATGATGAGATTAATCTCAAAATGTTATGAGCTTAATTTAAAAATATATTATGTATTATTTTAAAGATGAATCTCAAAATGTTTTGAGATTAATCTCAAAATATTTTGGACCCTGGGAGGAGATCCAGCGCGGACCAGCGCTGAGACCAATGCAGACCCGAGGAGAGACTGGAGTGTCCAGCACACAGAAACCAGCGCGGACCTATAGGAGAGACCGCATAGACTGTAGTGACCTGACTGGAGAGACCGGTGCGCAGAGCCAGCGCGGACCGAAGATAGACCGCATAGACCAGACTTGAGAGACCAGCGCGGACCCGTATGGATCCAGGAGCATGCAGCACGGACCCGTATGGAGAGAGACCAGTGCAGACCCGTATATGGGAGAGACCAGTGCAGACCCGTCTAGATCCATGGGAGAGACCAGTGCAGACCAGTATAGATCCATGGGAGAGACCAGTGCAGACCCGTATATGGGAGAGACCAGTGCAGACCCGTATAGATCCATAGGAGAGACCAGCGCAGAGACTCAGCGCGGACCCAGTAACCTCCTGCAGCAGCAGTATATATGCCGTTGTTCTGTGGCCCGTGGATAAAGAAATGCCCCCTATAAATAGGAAGGGGTCACTAATACACGGCAAGATTTCCAATGTATTTGATAAAGCGTTGGCACATTTCATTTCAAAATGAATTAAAAAGTAGGCCAGATCTGCAGTGAAAAAGGCGGTTATATAAAAAAAGATTACTAATAAAGATTACTACAAATAAATAAATACATACATCGATATGACGGACATATCACTGGAATGTTGTATTTTTATTCAACTTCACCAAAGAGGACAACCCCGGCGTGTGAACATGTCGGCACTGAATGCGTACGAGTGCTCCTGAGGACTCGTAGGATTTGTACTTGCCCAAGAGAAATTCTGGTTACGAGAAATATTCGTGAATGCCACTTTCTTCGTAAAAACCGCGTAAGTAGGATTTACGTACAAATCTGTTCCTAAGAACCGTTCGTGAATGAGGCCCATTGTGTGAATTGCATGGTATCGTTTGGAGCAGGTTGCTAAATTAACACTGCACTGTCTCACTGGAGGATGGCTGACAAGAGTTAAAAGCATGTCAGACAAAAGCTATCACTCCCCCAGCTGTATAATGCACATGAAGAATTGATGTTTGGGTAAATTTGCACATGTGTACTCCTATTAGAAAGGGCAAGGGAGAAGGGCTGAATGTTTAATGCACAGATGGTGGTTGTACAGAAGGATACATCCTTCTGTATGTTCTGTAATTCAGCACCGTGGTTTACCAACGAGCTTCAGCAGTTAAAAACAGCAGGCCGTGCTCTTGAGCGTCGTGCTGTGAAAAACAATTTAACAGTTCACAATCTGGCATATAGGGACCATCAAAAACGCTATTCAAGAGCACTAACCACTGCCAGATCACAATACTATTCAAACGTTATAAACAACAACCCTGGGAATTCAAAACAACTTTTCTCCATAGTAAACAAACTCATCAAACCAAAGACCAAAGTCTGCAATAACCAGTCAGAACACGAGTGCAATAAATTCATGGAACATTTCACCTCTAAGACAGACAAGATCCGTACCTCACTCTCTGCTAGTGGCAACCTCATCCGAGGCTGCGCAGTAGCAGACTCAGGAGGTGGCTTCTCTCAGTTCACCAATGCTACTGAGAGAGAAGTTGAGGGAACTGTGCGTAAAATGCGGCCCTCCTCTTGTCCCCTTGATCCATTCCCCACCCCTCTGATCAAATCCAATGCCTCTGCATTGAGCCCACTTATCACTGCCATAATAAATCAGTCCCTTCAGAGCGGCCACATCCCACCCACACTAAAAACAGCTATCATTCGGCCTCATCTTAAAAAACCATCTCTGGACCCCGACATCTTGGCTCACTACCGCCCCATCTCGAACCTCCCTTTCTTGTCAAAGGTCATGGAAAAGGTTGTTTCCGCCCAACTTCAGGACCACTTGAAACACAATAACCTCTACGAAAAATTCCAGTCAGGCTTCCGATCGCACCATAGCACAGAAACAGCACTGGTCAGAGTCACCAATGACCTCATGCTGGCCTCTGACCAGGGCTTTCCATCACTACTCCTTCTCCTGGACCTCACAGCAGCATTCGACACCATAGAACATTCAATTCTCCTTCATCGCCTTCATACTATAATTGGTCTCTCTGGCACCACTCTGAGATGGTTTGGGTCCTATCTCACTGATAGAGCTGAGTATGTGGCCTTGGGGGAGTCTAAATCCCAGACTCACACTGTCTCCTGTGGAGTCCCACAGGGGTCGGTTCTTGGGCCGACCCTCTTCAACATCTATATGCTCCCCCTGGGCCACGTCATCGGCAGGCATGGCATGTCCTTCCACAGCTATGCCGATGACACTCAGCTCTATGTGAGACTGGACCCAGCCTCTCCCTCATCCACCCCCGCTGCACTCACCTCCTGCCTGGAGGAGATAGAGGCGTGGATGTCTCAAAACTTTCTCCAGCTAAACAGCACTAAAACAGAGGCTCTACAAATTGGCACCCCCCACCAACTTCGTTCCCTGTCTGTAAACTGCATTAATTTCTCTGGTCATACCATCACCCCCTCCTTCTGTGTTACAAACCTCGGTGTCAGGTTTGACTCCCACCTCACTTTTCATCCACACATCCAACATATCTCCAAAACTGCTTACTTTCACTTAAGAAACATTGCCAAACTCCGCCCCTCTCTTTCCCTCTGTGATGCTGAGAAGCTGGTCCACGCCTTTGTCTCCTCCAGGTTGGACTATTGCAATGCCCTCCTCGTCGGGATCCCTGGCAGAAGCCTTCAAAAGCTTCAGTATATTCAGAACAGTGCTGCCAGGGTCCTGACGAGGACACGCAAGTTCGAGCACATCACCCCCGTCCTCCGTAAACTCCACTGGCTCCCCATACACCTCCGTATTGAATATAAGGTCTGTCTTCTCACTCACCAATGCATCCACAGCAACGCCCCAGAGTACTTACAAGACCTCCTCACCCTACAGTCCACATCACGATCCCTCCGGTCCACAAACACCCACCGTCTCAGTCAGCCAATCACACGCCTTCACTCCATGGGAGACAGGTCTTTTTCAGCCGCATCACCACGCCTGTGGAACGCCCTGCCCCAAGACCTGCGGGCGCCACAGTCTGTGGAGTGCTTCAAAAAGCACCTGAAAACGGAGCTATTCAGGAAGGCCTACTGCTGATCTGCAGCCCATGTTTTAATGTATTTTAACATTTGTATATATGTGTTTTTATTCTGATGTAGCACCTTGAGATGTGCTTTGCACATGAAAGGTGCGTTATAAATAAAATCTATTATTATTATTATTATTATCCTTACAGTGGAGAGAACAGCTCCCTGGGTAGAGGGTTAGAGCAGGCTGTTAGTCATGTCTGAACTGACTGAAGATGATATCCCTATTGGCAAATGTGGACGCAAACTTTGGAAATAATTTTACAGCAATTATATATATTATATAAATGTAAAATTAAAATTAAAATTAAAATTAGATGAGTAAAAAGCCTGAATGTTTTACACTTGAGTCGACTGTGAATTTACTAGAAACATTGGGCCTCATTCACGAATAACTTCGTAAGAAACTTCTCAAATTTCTTCTCAAGTTGTCCTTAAGTAGATTTCTAAGAAGTCCCTACGTGGGATTCATCAACGCACTCGTAAGCCGCTGAATTGTTCGCAGCTGTTCTCTTAGATTGATGAATCCCATTTCCTCGTAAGTAGAGCGCGCGTGCCAGGTGCTTCATTAGCATAGGCACTTAGCATAAGTTACCGCCCATTAATGCCCATATAAGGGACTGCAGGGCCGTGTGCAGACGGCAGAGGAAACAGCAACAGGCCTAAAGCAAAGAGTTACACGGAGCCAAAGAGTCACCCTTTTTTCTTCTTTTGCCAGACTGAGAATAAAGTTATAAAATGTTAACTTAAAAGTCGAAATATTATGAGAATAAAGTCGAACTAGCAAAATTATGAGATTAATCTAAGAATATGATGAGATTAATCTCAAAATGTTATGAGCTTAATTTAAAAATATATTATGAATTTTTATTATTATTATTATTCCAAAATATTTTCGCATAGACCAGACTTGAGAGACCAGCGCGGACCCGTATGGATCAAGGAGCATGCAGCACGGACCCGTATGGAGAGACCAGTGCAGACCCGTCTAGATCCATGGGAGAGACCAGTGCAGACCCGTATAGATCCATAGGAGAGACCAGTGCAGACCCGTATAGATCCATAGGAGAGACCAGTGCAGAGACTCAGCGCGGACCCCGTAACCTCCTGCAGCAGCAGTATATATGCCGTTGTTCTGTGGCCCGTGGATAAAGAAATGCCCCCTATAAATAGGAAGGGGTCACTAATACACGGCAAGATTTCCAATGTATTTGATAAAGCGTTGGCACATTTCATTTCAAAATGAATTAAAAAGTAGGCCAGATCTGCAGTGAAAAAGGCGGTATATAAATAAAGATTACTAATAAAGATTACTACAAATAAATAAATACATACATAGATATGACGGACATATCACTGGAATGTTGTATTTTTATTAAACTTCACCAAAGAGGACAACCCCGGCGTGTGAACATGTCGGCACTGAATGCGTACGAGTGCTCCTGAGGACTCGTAGGATTTGTACTTGCCCAAGAGAAATTCTGGTTACGAGAAAAATTCGTGAATGCCACTTTCTTCGTAAAAACCTCGTAAGTAGGATTTACGTACAAATCTGTTCCTAAGAACCGTTCGTGAATGAGGCCCATTATTGGTAAGACCCTCAATGCAATAGATGGACAAAAGAGGCTATTTATCCACTCTCAATAAAAAATGTTAAGTCAGCATTTTGGTTGATTGTGTGTCCTGTTTCCTTTTTCTCCACACCATTCAAGTGACACTCTTCTTGTTTCCTTCTGTTTCAGTCTGTTCACAATTCTCAAGAGGGGTGTACGCCATATTTGGATTCTACGATAAGAAGTCGGTGAACACCATTACGTCGTTCTGCGGGACTTTGCACGTGTCCTTCATAACGCCCAGTTTCCCGCTGGACGGGACGCAGCAGTTTATAATCCAGATGAGGCCCGACATCAAGGGCCCGTTGCTCAGCCTCATAGAGTATTACAAGTGGGACAAATTTGCCTATCTCTACGACAGTGATCGAGGTAAGACTATAAACACACATCCCAGGAACAGCATGGGGCCTAGAGTATAGACAAGGGGTTCTCCATGAGACCACAAGACTCTCCCGCAAAGTCCATTCAAAGTCGTTGATCATCGCACTTACAAAATAAATTCCAGTATTTGACCCTCAAATGTAGAAAGTTTGGCCCCTGTACTTTGATCATAATAATATTATTGACATATGTTAGGTACATGCAGATGACAAGTTTTTCTACTAGTGATAAACAATATTGGAAATTAGAGCGATATTTGATATGGGTGTTTTGTATTTCATTAACAATATTATTGCAATATTTTGTCTTTCACCTAAAAATGCAATCTGCATTGAACTGCAAGAAAAAAAAATCTCCAATAAAAATTAAGCACAATTTCATTCAAATGCAGTATGGCACACATATTAATCTCAAATCTTGCCTCAAGTTGCCAATTCCATACACACAGTATTAACGGAGAGTGTGAACTTTGCTAGCCTGGTCATACCACACCATCGGGGAAATTTGTTGGGAAATTATAATTGACCAGAGTTTACGGATGGCTAAGGCCAGGCTAGCACTTTATTACATAATGGCTGCAGTTAAAGCTTTGTATTGCTTCAAAGTTTTCTCATAAGGAGCTACAGAAGCAAAATGAAATAATTAACGTGTGTTTGAGCATTCGCCTTTCGTTTCACCGGAGTTGACTCTGAAGTTTTAGATTGCAAATACACAGCATAAAGTAGCTTGTGGTTGTGCTGGAGGTGGCTCTGGATACTTGTCGTGTTTCCCTTCAACGTAGCAGCTATTTTTCAGCTTGTTCACTACACTCATCATGTAATAATTAATTACAAAAACTACAAAGTGTATTAATCCTACAAAATCTAATCTTTCATTTGGCCCTCAGTGTTTATGTAGTCTAAATGTAAGATTAGCTTCTTAGCTTTAATCTGCTAAAAACAGCTCGTTTTCACCTTTTACCGTTCTTAAGCAATCTGTCATAATATATGATACATATTTTAATTCAAAACACTGCTGGTGTCGAGATTCAAACCCAGGTCGCTCTATTGCCAGCGCGATGTCTTAACCACCAGGCCACCATTACATTCAATGTGAAGGAGGCCCCAGAAAGGGCTTTTAACTGTTCATAAATAACGTGGCAAGCTTTGTATCAGACGAAAAGTGACGCCAACTCGTCACTGCAGGTAGCTGTTGTAGTCAGTACAAGTCGACCGCTTTTGTCAAATCAGTCGGCCCTCGGGGGCCCCCTGCCGGTTTGGGGGCCCCAGGCAGCTGCCTGCCTTGCCTGTTGGCACGGGACGCCTCTGGTTGTAAGAATGACGATAGTATGGTTCATTATGGGAATGCGCTAAGTCGGACAACTCGTTCTTCTCCCACATCCCCGTGAACTCTGCACAGCTGCAGCCTGTCCTTGCACTGCCCCTGCTGACCCTCTGGAACAATGTATATTAAGCTGGGGATGCCTTGTGCATATTTCAGAGGTGCACGGCTGTCTAATTAGGTCAGTGTGATGTGTCCATTCCCATGGCAACAGGAGGAGCGGCGGCGAGGTGCGTGCAGAGGATGCGAGAGCGCACGAGGGAGTTTTATGGCTCCGGTGTTGATATATTCGATTAGCATGTTCAGATTAATGGCGGGCAGGGAGTGCGCAGGCTTGATTAGTTGATGGATGTGTGTGCGTTGTGTGTGTTGTGTGCATGTGGGCGGAAAGAAGCCAATCAAAAGTTTGTGGAATGTTGACTCACCGCGAGGACTTAAACAAAGTGGTTTATCATCATTAAACCCCAAAAATGCATCTGCATGTAAACTGTTGGTCCTGTGGTTTCCCCTCTTCTCAAAGACTAGAAATGTTTTAATTAAAAGGTAAAAGGTTAAAGGGAATGCATAATTGTAGGAGTAACATACATTACACTTTTTTTCAATTCTTCAAACCTTCTGATTAGAAAGGAGCAGATTGTTCTGCCTCCTCTTTTACAAAACAGATTGAAGTTGCAAAGCTGCTGATCCCTCTTCCTTCATCATTAGCACATGTACACTCATATCATAAATTCAATCAAATTCATGCTCTGATATATAGGGATGATGTATTTTTGGAACACAAAAAAACAAAACACAATCACCAAGACTGTACTGTACTTATCGTAACTTCACATGCGCAGGTGCAAACAATCTGCCTTTAATGAGGCCCCCTCCCCAACATGACCTGTAGGGTGGCCCACAGGTAATATGTGTTTGAGACCTCTGATCTAAAGGGAAAAAGCTGCTTTTTGTGTTTGTTTTCCTCTCATATTATCAATACTCCCATTAGACGTCATCTTGTGTGAGAAGAGAATGACTTATTATTGGCCAATCTCTATTATCTGCACCAATGTTGTTACTACCTTGACATGTTAAGTACTGTCTAACTTTCTATACCAAACTTTTGTCCTTTACCTTTATTTATACTATAAAGACAAGATGAACCTTCTCAAACTATTTAAACAATCAAGTTACATTGAGTCAAAATATACCAGAAACATTTATGAAATAAATAATAATATATATGAATCAAAAAATAAAATTACAAAACAAAAGCAATAAAATGAATAAAAGATAGAGAACCACACAAGGGGTGTTGAAAGCCAGAAAATATAAGTGGGCCTTGAGACGAGAAGCCCTGACCCACAAAACTCAGTGTGCTGGGCTGCGGTCCATTGAAAAAAATAATGTACTGTAAAAAGTCAAGGGAAACGGGATGTCTTGAGCTGTATGTGCTGTCTGAACTCACATACATACTTTACATGTTGCGAAACATACATACAAAACATTTTTTGGGGGGGGGGGAATTCATACATTCACTACAATACAATACGATACAATGTTTTCTTGCTTAGCCCTAAATCACAACAGCAGTCATCTCAGAGGACTTAACAAAACCATTGACATCACTTACACAGACCAGAGAATCAACAGTTAAGACACATTGGTATATTGGTCTATAGGGAGAGACTAATGTCCATGAATGTTGAAAAATGTCCATACATGTTGAAGAATGTTAAAGTGTCCTGGATCATCACCACAGTCCTTCTTGTTAGACAGTACAGTAACTGTCCAACAGATCCTCCTGAATCGGAAAGGAATAACTCAAGAAAAGCCAGTGGGAAAAAAGTGATAAACCTCAAGGAGATCCACATTGAGAGAGGATCCGCTCCCACGGACGGACGGGCTCCACGACCTAAGCTACAGAACGAGGACCAGGGCCCTGTAGCGGCCGCATAACGTGGACAGGTCCGGTGCAGGATTGAAGCAACTCCCAGGCGGGTCGGGAAGAGCAGTCCGCAGGTGTAGATGGAGGGGGCCAGGTTCAGAGGTCCCGTCGTTGCACCATGAAATAGAAAATGGGACAACGGGTGAATAGCAATGAACAGACTACAGTCAAAATCCTAATAATGCAGACAGATAAAGTAGGAAGGAGGAGAGGATAGTGCTCAAGTTACTTTTCCCAGCAAACTGACTCCCCACGCAGATGTTTAGTCTTCACTGAGTCTTACCTTCCTAACCATATGCTAAACTGAAGAGGACTATTAGAACCCAATCACCAGAAAAGTCACTCAAAGCACTTTTAAGTTGTTGATCAAGGACTCAAGATTGCTGGGGGACCATGGAGATGTCACTGCAATCCGGAGGTGTGAGTCATATAACTAATGTGTGTGACAATGTGTTTAACTCTATGTGTGACTATGTGCAACTGCTTGAATCTCTTTTTCTTTATCTTAATTTTAAACACAGCTCTTGATAAAAGGGTTGGCCCCTCACGTATGGAAAATGACACATGAGAGAACGTGTGCACTTTAAAATTAATGCACAACACATGATTACTACAGGTCCTTATTATGGAGCTATTATTGTTTCAATAATATTTGTGTGTGCGTAAACAGATTTGTGTGTGCGTAATCAGATTTGTGTGTGAGTAATCAGATTTGTATGTGCGTATCAAAATTTGTGTGTGCGTAAAAAGACGTGTGTGTGCGTAACTAGATCTGTGTGTGTGTGTAAAAAAAAAAAAGTTTTTTTTACGCACAGATCTTTTGACGCAGTCCTGCCTTCGCAGATTCGCAAGCGTAACTTGGACTGTGTGCGTGTGTAAACAGATTTGTTTGTGTGTAATATGTCATTTGTGCCTGTAACAGAACAATCTGTGTGTATGACCACCTTGTACGAAGAGAATAACGGAAAAAAGCCTAAGTGCTACGCACAGGCTCTCGTTTCACACACAAATCTCTTTTTGACACACTTCTGGCGCCAAGCGTGTCTCAAAAGAGATTCTTACGTGTAATGTGGTTGTACCAGCAGTACACCAGCAGATGGAGCTGTTGTAGCCGTTTTATACACGCAAACAAACCAAAACCTACTGCCTTGACAAGATACACTACCGCAGCTGTTTATGATGTTTTTTTCCACTGTATGACACATGGATCTACTATATTATCTGGATAGGGTAATACTAGCTTGGAGCTGAAGGACCCACGTGCTCGGGGGATTCTTGCAGTACGGCAGACTAAACAAGACTGGATTCAGTGGACTACACAGACATTTTCCACCATAGAACTCAATGTAAACTTAAACAGCTCGACCTCAGCTGACAGAGAACCTGACAGAGAACCTACAGCTTTCATGTTGTGGGGATGTTGTTGTCCCTTGTCATCCTGAACTTTTCTTCTTCTTAAATCCTTCGGTTCTCTTTAAATCTACACTTTGTTGCCACAAACTCTGCTGGTTTGCTTGCGTGTATAACCAGCTACAACAGCACCATCTGCTGGTGTACTGCTAATACAACCACATTACACTTACGAATCTCTTTTGAGACATGCTTTGGCGGCAGAAGTGTGTCAAAAAGAGATTCATGTGTAGAACTAGAGCTTGTGCGTAGCACTTAGGCTTTTTTCCGTTCTTCTCTTCGTACAAGGTGGCACTCGCACACAGTCCAAGTTACGCTTTCAAATCTGCGA